AGATTTTTCATCCTTCCCCTATTTGATTGGCTGAATAACTTAAATGTTAATGCAAGTACTGATTAAGCTTCCTATAGGTGAAGGCATATGTTCGACATCATGATTTGGAGAATCTAGAAGCAACCAACTTCATTTTTTAATGGCGAGAGCTGGTCCTCGGAGGCGATGGTTTAGAACGCTCGTGCCTAGGCCCAATCTATCTTTTCCAGATCGAAGAATTATCTCCAGCAAACCAATCGGATGAAAAGCAGTCTAGTTTGGAGACTTCCCAACAACCCTGGAGCGTTTAAACTCAACACCAATGGAGCGGTCAAACAAAGGACCATGAAAGCATCTAGTGGTGGCATCAACCACGATAGCAACTGGATCGTGGGTTATAGCCGACATATTGGACGTTGCTTAGTGCTCCACGCTGAACTTTTGGGACTGTTGGTTGGTCCCCATGTAGCCTGGAAACATGGAGCTAGATGCCTTATGGTGGAGATGGATAACGCGGAAGCCATTAGACTGATCACCACCCATAGCCAAGGACATGAGTTGATTCTAATCCGGAGGATATGAGAGATGATGCAGAAAAGCTGGACGGTTGAGTTTACACTCATTGCCCGGAAAGCTTACAATGTCGCCGACACTTGTCCATTATGACTATACGTTGCACATAGGGCTCTCTGAATGACAATATCCATTTGGTAATATCCGTTCGTTGATTCAAAGTGACTTGCAGACTAGGAGAAGAACCCCCAATAATAGTTAAGCTTTTTAATTCTCTTGTAACAAAAAAAAATACAATAAAAACTTGCAAACGTTTACAAGAAAAAGATAAAAAAAATTAAGCTTAAATGAAGATTTTTTACTATTGAATATTGGTAATAGCTATGTTTAGTTTAGTTTAGGTTTTATTAATTGATAACCAGACTCATCTTTTTATATGCGTAGAATGTAATATGTCACATGGTTCTAAAATTTTAGAGGCTCACACTATAATAAAATTCGTTAATAAAAAAATTGTATTTTCTCAAAAAAAAAATATGTTATCATTCCTTTATTAATTCTCATGATAAATTTTAAAAAATATTTTAGTTTTCTTCTCTACTATTTTAATAAATGAATTGTTATCATTCTTCCTAAAAAAACTCCACTAAAATCATGATGACTAGCGGGGAAAGTCTTTTTTTATATTTATTCTAATTTCGTTCTTTTTCAATTTCTTCATCATCTAAAACCCAAAAAATGAAAATTTCTACTACTACTTTTAATTAATGTTTTGAATGTTGAATTTTTAATCGATGAATTTAATGATTTTGAGAATTCGAAGGTTGTTTATTCTCCAATTTGATAGTCCCGTTGAAGACTTGCAATTCGAGTGTTTAAAAGTGTCATTCTTCTAAATTTTCAGGTTCTTTCTATCTTTTTGGTTTTTAATTCATCACTTGATCTCTTTCTTTGCGAATTTGATCATGAGTCATGCAATTAGAAAACATGATTTCGGATGTGAAAAAAGTAAAGAAACCAAAAGAGTTAACTCAATCTCAAATAAGAGTTCTTGATAAGTTCTTTGTGAAGGAATTGCATACTTCTGTTGAAATTAATTTGAATGATTATTATGTTAATTTAAATGACAATGATGATAATTGTGTTGATTTTACTTCTAAAAGTGTTCGGAGAATAATATTTTTTAAATAAAATATCACGATTATAGAGTTATTTTGTGATATTATCTTAATTTCACATGTTTAATTTTTTTATAAGAAATATTAGTAATATGATAAATTTTGATATTTTATAAATTCGTTTTATTATAAAATATTTTAGGGACATTGTTTAAAAAAGTGGCACAATGCATTCACATCTTTTTGGACGGACCTGTTGATAATATACACACTTACAAACGTAATTGATCGAACTCAAAACTTCTAAAAAGGATGATATTTTTTGCCACTAAGATTATTTTATGAATTCAAAAGTCAAAATTTAATTAATTCTATAATTTAATGATTAAATTGATAATTGTCCAGATGAAAAAAGTAATATATACATACATACATACTATAAATGCAATCCCGTTAAAGAGATGGAGGAGTTTAATTGTTGGGACACGTATGCAATATCATTAAAATAAATTTGAGGTTAGTTGAGGTAGGTACCGTATAATTAAAAATAATTATTTTGAACATTGTTTTAGGTTCATTGTTTAGTTGTAAAATTAAAGTATATATCCATGCTTTTGTTTTATATATATATATATATAATTATATGAACTACGCGAACCAAATTAATTAATGGTTAAAAAATTGTTGTATTTTTAGATATTTCGGTTTCAAGCTTAGCGACTGTAGCAAGGGTGATGGAACATTCATTGTCAAATGGTTGAGATTATTTTGAGAAAATAATTAAACTTAACTTAACGTGTTAAGGAAAAAAAATAAAAATTTTGCATACCTATTATTTTAAAAAAAGAAAAATGAAAATTTTGTACTCTCATTCTTATATTTTTAGATTCATCACTGACAGACGTAACTGCTACAACCGAAGATCTTTAAAAATAACAACATTTTCTTTAATAACTAACTTTAAAAAAACAACATTTCTTTAATAACTAATAACCTGACTCAATAGATTCTTTTATATATTCCGTTTGAATTGTGTTTTAATCGAATTGAAAGAAAAGAACAATGTAGCAGGAAGTGGGTGACGGTTGCCCACAATTGATTGCGAAAAACACTTCATCTCCACCTGAGGTCTTAATGGGGTGTTTATATCAATAGCCTCAATCCACGTAGACGTGGCAAATGATAATGTGCATTCAAATATTTGTTGTTGCATTGAATTGAGCCAACCACCAACGCCCAACGCTATCCTATTTCTCCGTTTCTTTCCACAACCCTCTCTCAACTTCCCGGCTATAAAAACCCTCGAGCAATAACCAGCAACCACACAACAATCACAACCAGAAATCAGAAATCAGCACTAGCACCCACTAAGCAATTTCCTTGCAAGTTTATAAGATCGTTTGTTTTTTTCTTGTTGTAATCAATCAAAATGGCTAGCTCTATGTCCCTTAAGCTTGCATGTGTGGTGGTGGTGTGCTTGGTTGTGGTGGGTGCACCCCTGGCTCAAGGAGCCATGAATTGTGGTGAAGTCACAACTAAATTGGCACCCTGCATTCCTTACTTGAAGGGTCCAGGCGGTGGTGCTGTTCCTTCAGCTTGCTGCAGTGGGATCAAAGCCCTCAACGGCGAAGCCCAAACTACACCAGACCGCCAAGCAGCTTGCAACTGCCTCAAAAGTGCGGCTAACAGCATAAGTGGCATCAACTAAACCTGCAAGTGGACTCCCCAGCCAAGTGCGTGTCAGCATCCCTTACCAGATCAGCCCAGCACGACTGCAAAAGGTTCCTATGCCTCTAATTTCTTTTATAATACTCACTGAGTTCGTTGGTACGGTTATCAATATATTAACTGATGAATGTTTTATTTTGGTGTCCCATTTGCAGCGTCAAGTGAAAGTTTGCATGGAAGTTCCCAGCTAATGAAAGCTACATAATAAAAATGGATGTTAAATCCATAGCGATAGCACTTTTAGTCGAAGTAAATCTCATTTACTCGTGTAACGTTGTTAGGTCGCTTTATGCGACCATATGATATTATCTTTCAACTACTTTTATTATTAATATATCTTTATATTAATATCGATTTAATCAAAATTCTTATTTAGGAAAATGAAAATATATAAACACAAGACAGATAATCCAGACCTAACGAAAAAGTTCTATTATTATAAATAATATAAAAATCTGCTTAACTTTCTGTTCTCTATCTATTAGCAGTTGATAGCCATCTTGTTTCACCAACCGATATCAACGCAATCACCGAGTTAATCCATTGTATGAAACCAAAATACCCTTGTAAATATTCCTCTCTTGAAAAATCAAATGAGAAAATAATACTCATCAACTCAATATATTCAACTGAAGCTTTTCACTTAATTTTACACAATCCATCGAATACTCACCCCTACCAATTACTATTATTAAATTTTACAGGAAAAAAAAGGAATAAAAGCATTATTTAAATATTTCCTATCTAAATAGTGACTCGTTGTCTCATCCATTACAAGCCCTCTACTCGCAAATTTATCTGACGATGGCTCCACACATTCCATGCGTAATCCGGAAATGCACGGCATTGATGGAAAAGCACCGGCCTCTCCTCACACTTCTGGTAAATGTTGCAGTGTTGACTGATTCAAGTTAACCTCTTGTCCATTTTGTACTTCTACTTTACCCGTACAAGTACTATTCTCCCCGGATTCTATATGAAGTCCAACAGCCTTTACCATGTAATAACTTCTATTAAGTGATTATTCAAGAGCACAACCAAGCAAGGAGATAATAACTTATTCACCTTGCATAACTCTGAAAACACACGCAATTGATGGAAACTTCGTGGCCTCTGTTTCCACTTCTGGTATATTGAGATGGTGTTAACTGCTTCAAATGATCCTCTTGTCCCTTTTGAAGTTGTACTTCACCGGTATTAGTCACGTCTGATTCTAGGGGAAGAAGACCAACAACCTTTAACAGTAAAGAACTACACAATCAACCGATTGTTCAAGTGTTGAAGCACACTAAGCAAGAAACTCGAACGAATAATTAACTGAATTAGATAAAGAGGAGGTAAAACTCACCTTGCTAGTAATCAATTTCTCTGAGTTCTGGCACTCTGATGATCTCCACAGAATCCTTGTAGTGCCGAAGAACCTGAAGTTGATGGAAACCCCACTGTTTGCACTTCAGGTATATTTTGCAACCTGTTGACCGCTTCAAATTAATCCATTTTCCCTCTTGTACTTCACAGGTATTGCTCGACTGTTCTACTTCATGTCCACTAACCTTAACAGTAACAGGAATATTAGAGCCTGAAAATTATTTGGGGTTTTCACTAAACAAATAATTAAGCAAGGAACTCACACCAATAATGAACCACGGTCTGAGAGGATTGTCTATACTGGAACTCTCAACCTCCAATAACTCGTTGAAAACATCAAACTGTAACTCCTCAGCAGACGGTTGAAGATGCCATGTTATCTGTTATACAGATTTAAAATTAGCATCAAATGCTAGAAAACACTAAAAATATTCATGGTTGACGCTTGCACCTGATAATCATGCAGTTCCTTAAATTTTGCAGCGAACCATTGTCTCTGATGGGATTTGCTATTTTCCCATCGGCATGCACGGGGAAACATCAACTGCCACTCTATCAAGTCTGATCGATCCAGGTCAATGTGCTCATAACACCATATATTTCACAATAAACATAACAAATAGTATATAAATGATAGCTTACATAAGCTGAAATCCTTCATGATCTCACATATAGAACCAGTCCCCAAACCCTGTATTGTTTTTCCTTTAAACCGAGGAAGAAAAGGCAGGGAAAAGGGAGTTTGATTTGACTGGCTTCTCTAAGAATCACGAATTTCAACAAAAACTACGACTTATTAGCCTCTTAACTAGTAATCTCAACTTACTTGAAGAAGTATAAGACAACCTCCAACATATTGCACATTTGACTCTTTTCTTTTGTTCAACCACATAACCATGTCCCCGAGAACAGCTGCACCCCATGCAAAGCGACCAATATCATCCACATTTTTCATAAAATGAAGGTAACGGGAATCCACTTTTCCATTTGCATTGGGAAAAAGTATAGTGCCAAATGTGAAGAGAATGAATGTCCTAACAAAGTCTTCGTTAACTACTTGTCCAAGTGAATCGAGTCTACTTTCAAGGGATGCAATTGTAATCTTCCTCTTCCATAAGGAAGCTCCATAATTAGTTTGAAGATCCGAAAAGGCTTAATCCTCCTTAAGCAGTATAGGATCACCAACCACATGAATCCCCAAAATTAGAGCAACATCCATCAGAGTAATTTGACAATACCAGGAAGCAGCATAAAACCACGTTCCTCGGAATTCCATCTCTCCATCAATTCTACCAGCAAACTCTTGCTCAACATCTGATTAGTTATTGAAAGCAAATTGCCAAAACCAACTTTCTTTATCGCAGTTCTTTGATCATCGGTGAGTTTCTCAACCCGATTAACAAATGACGACAAGGAAAATCTTGTACCAAAACTCCCAGTCTGTACATTTATGGATAAGCAAGCCCTCAATTATGCACGGTTTCATATCAACAAGGGGGGAGGGGGGGAATAACACTAAGGGAAGTCAAACATAAAAGCCTCATTTAAATTCATGTTCATTTAATTGGTGATGTAATTTCAATTTCTGCACAATATTTTCATTATTTGACTAATAATCAGTTAACACGCCAAATATTACAATTATACATAGATATAAAAGAAACAAGGCAGCTAAGCTTTCCAACGTTCCTCTACCTCTAAGCCAAGCAACACTAAAGGAAGAATTCTTTCTTTTTCATCTTTAAAAACTAACAATCTGAATCATTAATTTCCTATCACAAACTTGTGATTTTCCAGGAAAAATTAAAACGGGAAGCATATTTTTTTGAATGGAAAATGAAAGTACCGGTTTTGAATCGAGGCGTTCTTCGACGCCTAATCCTATCCCCATGGAAGACCTCCTCGTGGATCTCCTCATTGTAGACCTTTCCGGGAAAATGATAATGGTTTTTGAAAACCCTAAAGATAATAGATATCAACTGTGACTGTGAAGCTTGCCAGAGAAGCTTGAGAGAATTGGCGCGAAACAACAAAATTTGGGAGCGCGTCATTCCACGCATCCATTCTTACCGACATCTCGCTGTTATTTTTCTTCAGTTCAGTCTTATGGTATAATAATATCTTGATTAAACTACACATTTAGTATTTAAAGTTTAAGTTTTTGTCTTTTTTAGTACTAAAGTTTTATTTTTTTTAAAATCATACATAAGGTTTAATTTTAGCACCCTATAATTAAAAACTTAATAGATGGGGTGATGTGGAATTATTATTCTGTAGTTGGTTTTCCACACATGTTTTTATAATCCATGTTAGCATCTCACGTGGAAATATGAAAAATGAAGGGGTTTTTTTTGTTGAATATTCAACAATGGTCGGCATCGTTGAAATTGCAAATGGAATGGTTAAATGTGGAAAACATAGGCTGCTAAATTATTCAAAATTAGGCAGTTATTTTTGTTGAATTTTGTTCATGGGAGAATTGCAATTAGTCTCTGCACTTTAGGATATTTTCAAATATTAGTCCTTAAGCTTCAACTATAAATACCTTAGCCCATTTAGCATTAAAATCATCCCAAATCATTTCTTTCTCCCAATACTAGAGAACTTTCTTGTGAGTTGTGAGTGTTTGGTAAACACCTATAAAATTTTCTCTCTTCAGTAAAAGATTTGCAACAGTTCGGAGACGTAGGCATAATTGGCTGAACTCCGTTATCAATTTCGGGTATTATTTTTCCGCTTTTATTTTGCATTCTCATTAATCTAGTTATAGGGAACTTGAAAAAATTAGTGGAGCTCAAAATCCGGTAGACATGTTAACAAAGACGGTGATAACGGACAAACTGAAGTTGTGTTCAACTTCAGTTGGCATGCTAGAGTAATAAGACCAGAAATGTTGCTGCATTGATCGATGTGTGAAGACATTAAAATCAGTCTTTAAGTGGGAGATTGTTGAATATTCAACAATGGTCGGCATTGTTGAAATTGCAAATGGGGGTGGCTAAATGTGGAAAACATAGGATGTTAAATTGTTCAAATTTAGGTAGGCATTACAGTTGAATTTTGTGCATGGGAGAATTGCAATTAGTCCCTGGACTTTAGGGTGTAGACACCCGTTTTTTGTCCGGGTCTTTTCTATTTAATTTTAATCTTATTATTATTATTATTTTGTTTATTATTATTATTTTGTTTATTAATTATTATTATTAATTACATATTACAACATTTTTGCATGCCAATCCCGAGGCCCAAACCAGAATCCAACTGGAACCCAAATCACTGGGTCCAATCTAGCAGATAACCCTAATCCTAAAACAAAATAGGGTTTTAAACCCTAAACCAATCTCCAGTCGCCGCTATGTGACTCTTCAGATTCCAGCCGAGCTTCACCCCGACAGTTTCTGACGCCGCCGCCGTCCTTCCTTACACCAAAACAGTAACAACATACATCCAACAGTGACAAGAATCAACATCAAGTCAGAGAATGATTATCCTAGAAATATAGGATATTATTATCCTATTTTTGAGGCCTCACATCCAACAACAAATCAACATGCAAAGCAAGATAAAAGGAAAAGGGAGCAGAGAGAAAAGGGGAAGAGGAAGATTCGGTGATAACAAAAAAAATACTATAACAAATTTTCTTATTAGTGGCATCTAGGTTATTGTCACTAAAACTTCAATTTATGTCACTAGATGTATTTTGTGACGTAAAAGTCAATGTCACGACGATCGTCACCCTAGGTGTGTCACTAAATATCAAAAGTGACGATGTATGTGTTATCGCCATATATTGTTAAATATATAGTGATGCTAATGGATAACGTCACAGTTTAATTTGCATTCAATGACAATTGCTTTTGTCACTAAATGATGTACATTTTCGTCATTAATAAATCATATTGTCACCAATAACACAATAATTTCATTGAATACGTGACGAAAAGAAAATTGCCACATTATTAGTAACATAGTATATCGTCACCTAATAATAGCATGAATGACATTTATATATAACGTCACTATACAATTAATATTCAATGACAATTGATTATGTCACTAAATTATGTAAAATTTCGTTATTGATGATTTATATCGTCACAAATAATGCATTAAAATCAACTTATATGTGACGAAAGAGATATTGTCACATTTTTAATGACATAATATATCATTACCTAATAATATTTTGAATGATGATTATGCATAACGTCACCATATATAAGGTCATAGTGGCAAAACTAAAAATTGTCACATTTTTAATAACAATATATATTAAAATATTATTTATACAAATCTAAATAAAAAAATAGTTCACTTATTGCAAAATAATAAGATTTAAACAAATATTTCACTAAAAACATAATAATTTCATTTCTATAAATATAAAAATGTTTAAATGTTTACATAAAATAAAAATAATATGATAATAATATGACTTGTGGAATATTTCGTTGTAGCAATCTCAATCCAAACCTTGAGTCGGTTGTGATTCTGTTAATGTTGTGTTCGTGGTATCATTGGTAGCTACAAATTAAAATAATCATCATTAGTTACTACAATTAATATTATATAATAATTTTTATTTGATTAACCATATCGTTTACCTGAAAATTGAAACGATGGCACTTGAATTCCAACAGCTAACAAAACAGATCAAATAGCTTCTATTTGAGTTTGAATCAATTCAAAATTTGACTTATAGTTATTAAGTTTATCTTCTTTATTCTTCAAACTCTTTTTTAACTCAATTGTATCTGCACTTGAATTTGCTTTTTAGGCTTTGGCCCATATACAAGCCCCGAAATGTATCTTGGTCTAGTACCAAGTACCTCATCCATTATATCATCAATATTCTTAGGTTCTGCTCCTTCAGCCGGAGTTGATTGCAACTCCGCCATTTTCTCCTAAAAAAAGTCATTCATAAATAAAATAATTCTTAGATGAAAATTACAATTTAATACTTAATTTTGTGAGGTTTTACATATTTTGTTTGTGCCTCAGATGTTGTCCATCCTTTGTCATTTGAATAATGAGTTGCCTTGAAGAAATCCATCCTATTTGGTTCTTCATCCTTGCGCTATATGATTTCAAAATAAAATTAGACTTTAAAATAAAAAATAAACTTTATAATAAATATCAAAAGTGTCCAACTACCACAGGATTTTTCTTAAACAATAATAGCATTAATGTTGCCAAGGTATTTACTGAGATGACAGTGAAAATGAACAATATACATTTCAATTCCCAATATCAATGGAGTTACTAATATTGATATGGTTTATGGAATATTTGTTTCTATCTTATGTAAACGCACAACACATGACTCGCCTCTAAAAATGCTCAAACTACATATCTTTATTTGACCTAGGAAATTTATTTACATTGAGATAAAACGTAGAGGAACTTGATTGGAAAATTCCTCAACAGTTTTTTGAACAAAAGAACACTCCTCTTCCTTTTCTAATGCTTTTCCTGAATTTCTACACCTATCTTCATGTATTGTTCACAGCCAAATATGAACATGCAATCAATCCAAGACTGCCGTCCTTTCTTCTCTTAATTCACTCCTAAATCTTATCTCTTGTATATACTATTCACAAGCGTTATACTTAAAGTCACATTCGCAAGTTGAAGCTCGGAGAGCCTTACCCATTCTCAGGTCGTTGCCATGGAGGACCAAGAGTTGGCCCAGGAGTAGTTTGAATTCTGACTTTGGAACCATTGCTTGGTTCAACTTCAGACTCCTGACCAGGTTCTAGATATGTGACCTGAAAGATTCTAATGCAACAGTGAACGGAAGTAAAGCCATATGCATGGATACATCGAACAGTAGCAGATTCGGTTGAAAATTACTTTAAGACCAGATGCTCTACAACTAAATATATTTAATAAAATGACAAGTTGTCCTGAATTGTTTACATTTAACATTATCATCAATTTATGATGGTATATTCAATGAACCAAACCACAAAAATACTGTGAAGCGTGAACCATAAATAGTAACAGATGCCTAGTAGAACCCCTGAAAACTAAATTAACGATTTAACTCACATTTCTGAAAAGAGGATCCAGCAAAGGCTTGGCATTTGGAGTTGCGAAGACTCTAAGATTTGGGGACATTTCTGAGAAAGGTTTTAAGGTCCTTAAATGGCAGTATTCATCAAGGTTTTGTGTAATCAGTAAGCAATCAAGTTGAGGAAGATCAGAAAGCTGCACAAAGGAAGTTACACCGCAATTACAACAAACACACTTATTAAACAACAAAGCAAATTATATATATATATATATATATATATATAACATGGATACAAAAAAAAAAAAAACCTTGAAATTCCTAATAAATTTCTTGGCAGCGTCATAGAGCAATGGAATGTCGAAGTCCAAGTTACCAACCAGAATTGGATCAACCAAAAGTTTAACCCCACTTACATCCCACAGTCAACTATTCCCCTAAAAACCAAAAACTAAACCATGTCAACAACAAAAAAGAGGGTAAAAATTAACTGATAAATCAAAAAGAAAAAGAAACCCACCTCTAGGTAAGTGAGGTTGTATACATCAATCCCAGAAGAGCTGGACCCAACAACACTCTCTTCAGAAACAACAGCAGAAGCCCCCTTATCCCATCTGTGAAACCAACCCAAAACAAAAAACATATACATATAAAGACTAAAACATACAAAAAGAATCGTAGGTTTTGGTTTAAAAGTTAATGAATACTTGCAGGTTGAGAGCTTTAATCTATCTGAACGGAAGCTGAATGGGTTCGAGGAATTGAGGATAGACGAGCGGGTAAGAGAGCGGGTACGGGTCTGGGGCCTCTGTTTCTCAATGGTTTGCAACACAGAGGAGCGAAATTGCAATGGACCGCCATTCGTCCTTCCTTGACGAGTAAATTTAACGTTTTAGGGTTTCCAAAGACCTTTGTAAATTGTAAAAGTCGTGGAGCGATTGAAAGAGTAGGACTGGGGAACGCAGAATATTAATAAATAAGACTTGTGTTCTCGGTATTGTAGAGTGACGAATTTAAATGAGTAAATTTAACGATTTTTATGTTTTACTCTAAAAATTTTTGAATGTGAGATAATTTAATATAAAAATAATATCAATAAAATAAAAAGTATAAAAAAATCTATAAATTATATAATTTAATAAGGTTGTTAGATTATTTTTTAACATTAACTGACATAATTTTATGACGTCTTTTAAAATCGTCATATAAAAAAGAGAGATAAAAAGCAAGAGACAAATAATTGATTTCGTCGTGCTAAAACTATTTTTATGACAATAATAAAATGTTACTTTTAGTGTCTTATAAAATATGACAAATTAAATTGGTACGAATAAAACTTATTAGTGACAAATGTGCAACGCCACTATTTCAAATTCAATCGTCATTATAATAAATCGTCACTAATACTTGTTTTTTATTGGAGATGATTTTACAACGTCATTATTTTATCTAAATGTCATTAAAAGGTTTCCCACCAAATAATTTAGTGGGAAGATTTTGGTGCCAAACATATAGTGACAAAAATTAATGAACATTTTTAAAAGAGAAAATCGCCTCAGTGACCAAAAAAAAGTTATAATATACGATTTTAACCAACTTTTTTTGGATTTGCCAAAATGACCAACAAAATCGCAACGCGAAATAAAAATCGCAACGCGATCCCCAGAATCGCAAATCAGTTTCCAAAATCGCAACGCGATTCTTGAAAATCGCAATGCGATAGTACAAATTCGCATTGCGATTTTCCAAAATCGCAACGCGAATATGAAAATCGCAACGCGAACACATAAATCGCAACGCGTATCCGTAAATCGCAACGTGTATCCGTATATCGCAACGCGTATCCGTAAATCGCAACGATAATACATAAAATCGCAACGCGTATCCGTAAATCGCAACGCGATATTTAAAGCGCCATTATAATCGCTACGCGTATTTTATTTCAAATTACAAAAACGAATATTAAGACAAAATCCCGTAATCGCAACTCATAACCTAAAACCTAAAATCACAACTCAGTCCCATCTCCATCTCTCACTCTCTACGGCGAAGAAATCCGTCCCCATCTCCGAAGATTTCCGTCCCCATCTCCGGCGAAATCCCTCACAACCATTCACGGTCAGAAATCCCTCACAATATTCAGAAATGGAAAATCAACCTCCGAGGGTTAGTTTTTTTAATTATTTTTATTTTGAAATGTTTGCATTATTGTAGGTTTTTCATATTGAAACTGATGATATGTTTACTGGTCATTTCAATAATAGATTAACCATTTCACTTAGATTTCATTTCGCGTTACGATTCTGTCGTTGCGATTTTCATTTCGCGTTGCTATTCTCTCGTTGCGATTTTCAAGTTAGTATTTGTCTTTGTCTTTGTTCTGTCTTTTGGTTGAAGTAATGCAATCCATTCAAGTTTCAATTTGCAGAAGAGTCGCAACGAGATAAATGAAAATCGCAACGAGAGAATGACTGTCGCAACGAGAGAAATGAAAATCGCAACGAGAGAATCGCAACGCGAAATGAAAATCGCAATGCGATTTTGGTTTCGCGTTGCGATTCTTTCGTTGCGATTTTCATTTCGCGTTGCGATTCTCTCGTTGCGATTTTCATTTCTCTCGTTGCGACAGTCATCTCTCGTTGCGATTTTCATTTCGCGTTACGATTCTCGTTGCGGTTTTCATTTCGCGTTGCGATTCTCTCGTTGCGATTTTCATTTCAACCAAAAGACAAAACAGTGTTGCAATTTAGTTTCAAGAATAAACTACTACTTTTATGTTTATTGTTTTTGGTATATCTTCACAGTGTAGTTTTGGTATATCTAACTTGGTATGTTTATTGTTTTTGTAGAAATGCGATTCTCTCGTGCGATTTTCATTTCAACCAAAGACAAAACAGTGTGCAAATTTTAGTTTCAAGAATAAACTACTACTTTTATGTTTATTGTTTTTGGTATATCTTCACAGTGTAGTTTTTGGTATATCTAACTTGGTATGTTTATTGTTTTTGTAGAATTTTTTTCGGCTCATTGACCTTGAGAAATAAAGTTAGCCTGGCCACTACAATTGCTTCGAAGCTTTCACCTGCTCAAAGACAATTGTTTGAGGAAACCTGCTTCGGGCCATGGCTGAGAGTACAGCATCCGGGTGGATATGCTAATTTGACCCATTTGTGCTTCAGACCATGACATCAATCTACCCGACAGTATACAACGTGGTGAGGAAGATATGGTTTCATTTTTCCCAGCGTATACTTGTTTTGGGCGGAAGGAGTTCTGCTTAATCACTGTCTACGATTCGGACACGATGATGTAGGCCGGTACACTCGTCATATCGCCCGCCCATCATGTTATCCCGGGTTTTTTCCGGATGAGTCAATGGAGAAGCCGAACCTACATGTCGACGACCTGAAGAAATTGTTTTAATAAGAAAGCTGGTTTTCACCGGATGGATGACGTCGATGTTGTCCGAGTATGCCTTCTACTACTTGTGTATGCCGGCTTTTTAGCAGAGAGGCCAGACAACCTATTCATCGGGAGCTAATAATATTGGTAGAGGACCTGAATGCATGGAATCTGTTTCCGTGGGTTCGTATATATGGAAAGCTACCTGGACTAAGTTGTCGTCTGCCTTTGATGACCGCAAAAGTTTGCGGGGCGATGGGTCCAATACACTTTGTCAGGCTTGTTTGGGCCTTTAAGGTAAGAATTTCATATAATGTTTCTAAAATTATAATTAATTATTTAAACAATTACTAATTTTGTTATTATATTGTTTTAGATTTGGATATTCGAGGCTTTCCCCAGCATGCGTACATAGCAATAAAACGTCAAATGATATTCCCAGGGCTATTTCCTGGAAGAGGAAACTCTGTTGGATTGGGAAGACTTAATACCATATGCGACAATAATAATGTAAGTTAACACAAATACTTTCATATATATAAAACAAGTTATAATAGTAGACGTTAACTTTGTTTGTTTTTATATTTAGGAGGCCAACATTCCATTACAAAGACTGACACCCACGGAAGAAGAGCTTGCCACTGATTGGTGGCAAGCTAGTCAGTTTTTTGATGGCACGGATGATGAGCAGCATCCACTTCCTCCATTCGAGAGCCATCACCTCACCTAGCCAGCCATCACCGATCGACCCGACTATACACCTCTAGAACGAGAGCCATCACCTATCCCGTCACATCATCGAGCCTCTTTTCCACCATCACCTCATGATAGGCGACCGACAAAGATGCCACGACTCCTATCTCCCTGTTCTCCACCTCCACCTCAAAGGGATGAGTCAAGGGAGTTACGTGATGAGGTCATGCCTTGCGTGAGGAGATCGGTACTCTACGCGATAACGATGGTGCATGGCGTGTGGAGTGTCAACTTTACGGTGAGGTTGCCGCTCTACGTGATGATAGTATCGTTGCAGAATGAGGTTCATCCTCTACGCAACGAGGTAAGTTTAAGATTTTCCATATTTAACTTAATGATAAATTTACTCGTAATTTCACTTAGATTAGCCATTTCACTTAGATTGCTTAGTAAATTTATTCGGTTGCTGCCATTCTGCTAAACTGTGTATTCTTTAACACGTGAAATAGTATTTGTCTTTGTTTTGTCTTTTGGTTGAAAGTAAATTTGTTCGGTTGCTGCCAATTCTGCTAAACTGTGTATTCTTTAACACTGTGAAATATTTGTCTTTGTTTTGTCTTTTGTTGAAAGTAAATTTGTTCGGTTGCTGCCAATTCTGCTAAACTGTGTATTCTTTAACACTGTGAAATAGTATTTGTCTTTGTTTTGTCTTTTGGTTGAAAGTAAATTTGTTCGGTTGCTGCCAATTCTGCTAAACTGTGTATTCTTTAACACTGTGAATATATTTGTCTTTGTTTTGTCTTTTGGTTGAAGTAATGCAATCCATTCAAGTTTCAATTTGCAGAAGAAGAAATAGTTTACTTTCGCAACACGAAACTTAAAATCGCAATGCGAAACCAAAATCGCAACGCGAAATGAAAATCGCAACGACAGAATCGCAACGCGAAACCAAATCGCAACGACAAGATCGCAACTCGAAACCAAAATCGCATTGCGATTTTTCATTTCGCGTTGCGATTCTTTCGTTGCGATTTTCATTTCGCGTTGCGATTCTGTCGTTGCGATTTTCAGTTCGCGTTGCGATTTTGGTTTCGCGTTGCGATTTTAAGTTTCGTGTTGCGAAAGTAACTATTTCTTCTTCTGCAAATTGAAACTTGAATGGATTGCATTACTTCAACCAATAGACAAACAAAGACAAATACTAACTTCAGGGTATTAGTTTGAAACATATTTTCTTTGTTATCTGATTTTGTGAACTATGATAGAATAATGACTTGGGTGAATACAATGCAAGTTTGAAACATTTGTCTTTGTTTTCACTGTTTAAATATCATGTCTGTTTATTTACTGATTTTTGTATTTTAATTATTTAGCGGCCCGATAGAGTGGATGCTTTACGTCGGGTTATGCTTGCACGACGGAGTTCACGCATCAGACAGCGTGCACGTGCTATTAAGTCTCCGTACACCCCAATAGTGCGAAGACACCGCAAGAGAAGCCGACTCGCCTGTCATCCCTCAAGAGTCCCTCCT